AAATCATATACATATAACATGTGGATCAGTGGATGTATTTAGTTTCAAAGTATGTGAATTTGTTCTACTTTTTTTTTAATTAGCTATACTTAAACTTTTTGAGCTCAAACGAATTAAAAGTATATGAATAAAATTAAAGACCAAAACATAAGCAGATTCAATCTGGTTTCGTCCACTAGTGACAGTGCATGAAAAAAAATCGTTCTCTAAATTTTAACGTGACGTTACTTTGCATGGATTGAGCATTTTATGATTAATTAAGTTAATCAATTACTATTTAAGTTACGTTGTGTTATGCTTTGGGAGTTACGAGTATTATAGCAGTATACAGTCAGATTTTAGCTTCCGTGAGTGTTTTATTTCTTTTTGTCTTTTAGCAAATATTGAAGGGTTAATTATATGTGTACGTATATAATAATACACATATTATACTTGATTCTATTGTATGTGCCGTGTACAAGTACGTATTTTTAAAGCACATAAAAAGGATTAACGTCCGTATGTATAAGTTTATGGCGTTGGTTTGTGTATTAAGGAGAAAATTACTATATGGATTAAGAGAATTTAGTTTTGTTTTTTTATTAATTTGAGGAGATGTTAATTTTAATATTATTTCGTTTGGCAACTATTTTCTTTGTGAATTACAAAGGGTATATTCTTGTTTTGATATGCGTAGCTTCAAAGCATTGCTAGTTTCAACGTATAAGGCTTAATCGATTACTTACTGGAAATAATTGAATTGTAGCTTTCTAAAAAACCAAATCAACCTCTATGATCAAAACCGGGATATAAAATGTACGATGCAGTTGATCTGATCATTTTGATTAACCAGAAATAAACACACATGAAACGCTTTTTTGGGGGCAAAATTGAAAACATCCATCTTACAATAGCATACTGTCATTTATTTAAATTGTTAAATGTCCTTAAATTCAAAATATTAATCAAGATTTATATCCTTTAACTATAAGGAGTGTAAGACCGATCGAAGACGAACTACAACTTAAGTGTTTGGTTATAGGAAGATCAACTGTGAGAATGCTGTCACGTTCGGATTAGTTGGAAACTTCTACCGTACGAATATTTCGCCTTTTTCTCCTTTTGATTTAATACAATTACTAATGGAAATGTTAAATTGTTACATGTTAAGTGGTTATGTCCTGTTAGCAATCAATTGTGTATTGTATATGTCCAGTTAGTTTATTTTTGTAGCATGAATTGACCAAAACCGCATAATAATTAATTTACTATTGGATGTCTAAACGATTGATTAATCGCTAATAGACTCTTACAATTACGGATGCGGTGTGTGTATTAGGCTTATTCATATTTAAAATTGATGTCAGCAAAGTATATATATAGTTAGGCCACGTAGAAAAATTTACGTACAAAGATCAAGAAAAAATATAGTAGTTAGAAAATGTTAGGGTTTTCGGGGGTCCCATGGGCTTATGATCTCAAACAAAATAGTTTGCGTGTCTTAATGTGCTTAAAACTAGATTTATACCAATAACGAACAACCATATCGAGACGTTGATTAAATTTCATTTAGATAGAGAAAGTACTATATATGAGATGTTTCAAAACAGGGATTATAAAATATGTATGTATATTACATGAAATAATTATATAACAAATTGACTTTATTTTAATTTGTATGGTGTATTTTTAATATGGATGTGTATGGTTGAGATGTGTCATTAGTTGACCGATGACCAGTAATCCATACTATAACTGTCCATTTCTCTTATGCAATATGTGTTCATAAATAGTTGGGGTCAACGTATAACATTATGAATTATATTTTGAAAAATCTAAATAATATTCCGATAGCGCATAAACATACACGTCTTCGGTCTTATGTTAACCAATAAATTATTTGATGAAAAAAAGATTAATTATTTTAGGTCAAGTTTTCACGTACGTGGGAATTGGTTCGAACTGAATTCCACGAGAATTAAAAGAGTGATGCAAAACCTTTTTATTTGTTTAACGGTGATGCAAATTATATGACAAATATTAGAATATATAATAAGAGCATGGAGAATCATCAACAATTCAACATGATCGAAATTCAAACCAACTACGGGAATCATAGTAAGATTGTAAAAAAAAGAGTTGAATGTAAAACAAACACTACAAGAAAATAGTGATATTGCAACATAATATTTGCGATATTTATTTTTGTTAAAACTTTGCAACACATTTTACAATATTAATGCAATGTTGAATACATGTCGTAATTTTATTACAAACTTATAGCAAAAGAACGAGAACAAACAATTGTTGTGAATTTTTGTTACCAATTTGCAATTGTTTTACGAAATGTGAAAAATTCTTGCAAATTTGCTAGAATCACTCAACAATTATGAAACGTGACTGTTTTACAAGAAAATTATGTTACAAAATATGTGACATATTTTTAATACATTTTGTAATATTTTACTAACTCATTTGCAACAT